CCACATCCACTCTGGAAAAAAAAGTTGGCAGACTGAACCTTTTAGGGTTCTAGATTTGGGTCCCATTTTCTGAACCTTTTTTAGTTCTAGCTGAAGACGCTGAACTGTTTAAAGTTCTAGATTTTTTGGCTAGAACTTTTTGAAGTTCTGAATTTTTCGGGTGCAACTATAAAAACGGTCCAGAAAATGGTAGCCAAATCTAGAACCTTAAAAGGTTCAAGGTCTTGCCTAAAACCTTAAAAGGTGCAGTATGACATCTGTTTTTTTTAGAGAGCACACCCACACCCTCATCTCTTCCCTCATTCTTTTTGTGCGTCTCCACCCGTGATTGTGTACTTGATTATGGTTTTTATTACTGCGACCAGCCTAGAGTATCGATCACTGTAACACTTCCTCACCCCTCGCCTCCTCACTGTTCATTATACAACAAACTTAGCAGGGCCTATTTTTTGTGCTGTACTTTAGAGAGTGTGTGCGTCAGAAAGTTCGAGTCATCGACAAACATCGCTTTCCATTGCATGTGCCATCGTCAACACAATCTACCGAGATGTATATATATCGAGCAGCACTTGTGAGACATCTTTTTCAATTTATTTTTCATAGCAGAGAATCTGTCACCAAATGCAGCTATTTCACCATAACATAAGAATTTAATTATAATAGAGAATGACGCTGTATAGTGCTGTCTCTTGACAAGGTTTCTTTGGTAAATATCAATATATATGCTAAAAAGTTCGTGTGTCTTGAAATAGCAAGAGGAGAAGCACAAATTGAATTTATTCTATAGTGTTTGTCATAGAGAATGGACGTGTATCGATCTGTTCGAGTGGCATCTATTCCAAGACCACACAAGCCTGCATGGCCGTCTAGTTCTCTCGCGAAAGTGATACCTATTAATGATAAAGCACAACACACGAATGGTCACTCCGCATCACTTGCGAAGCCATGGGTAATGCCCACACATTATGTCGATCTCCATTCGTCATCGAGACCACAACTGATGATGAATCATGGAAAATTGGCAGATTCATCATTCACTTTCGACGTTTTTCAATCATCATCTAAGAAACCTCACCAGTGAGATCATCCTTGCTACGAGCTATACTGTTCTTTTCCTGACACTCGGTTTTGTTTGTAGAAACAGGAAAAAACCCGTTGGTGGCAATAAAATCAAATTCTCATTAGCGTGTATTATTTGTGTTAGCGCCATTTGTGCCTTTGTCTTGATAGCAATAACGACTGTCGTTTTTATATTCGTTCCGATCAACACAAAAACAAGCATTAGCAGTTCAAGTACCACAAATACTCCAAGCATCTCCACGAGTGAGTTTTTCATGATTGAAACCTAGACGATTTCACACAGATCAACATGTTATATGATAATCAATATTTCAAAATGGTTTAATGTAATAAACCAGTCATTTCGACAAGTTGTGCTTCTCCGAAAAATTTCAAAGAAGATTGACTTTCGTTTTCAATGATGAATGCCCCAAATATTACGACTATGTGATTTAAGTTTTGTAGCATAAAGTTATTCATACTACTTTGTAAGAAAAAATCATACTTCCAGGAGAAGGACTGTTCACGAAACCGAAGGAGATGTGACGGTTTGACTAATTGTTGGCCCGCGACGTTTTCCAGAATTTCTACTTACATAGCAATCAGAGCTTGTCACTAATGCTATTTCCCGCATCAAAACTTCGAAATACGACAACTCAATTTTTTCAGACCTGGAGTACCTTCAGGATACTCTTAAGGGGTCTCGAAAAACGTTTTGTCGCAAATTTTATCTTTTCAAGTATAAAATGATAGAGCTCGTCGCATTGATCACTAATATCATATTTGTGTTTAGATATCATGAGAAAATACGAAAGTTATCCTGTATTTACCTGTCGTAGCATTCACACATCTTTTATCTAAAAAATCTGGTTTTTGACCTATCAGCTCTGCAGAGATCTTGACTTATGTAGTCCAACGAACCCATTTCGATTCCAAATTTTGTCCTTTATTCGAATTTCTAAGAGTCTTGGCCAAACTATTAGTCTTTCGATCTGTATTGGTCGAATACTAGGTCTAATTATTTATATTAGGTTGACAAGACATTTTTTGCTTTTTTTTCGAAAATTTTATTTTTATTTTTTTTACTTCCAGAATACAACTAGCTTCCAACAATGTATGCTCCATTACTATCTATGACTTGTCGCCAACGCTCTAGTAGCGAAAGGATCCCGCATTTGTAAAAGTCCTGGGACTTTTGGCCGAAGAAGTTGACGAGGTCCATTTTGAGGCCGTTCTCCTCGTCGAATTTTTTCTCGCATAAATGGTTAGACAGAGAACCGAACAAGTGGTAGTCCGTGTGAGTTAAGTCTGAAGAATAAGGTGGATGTGGAAGTGTAACCCATCCGAGCTTCAATAATTTTTTACGCGTCGACTTTGCAATGTGAGGTCTGGCGTTGTCAAGTAAAAAATAAATTCTATCTTGCTTCCCCTGGAGTTTTGCTGCAACTCGGTCTATTTGCTCACAATAGAGATCAGCAGTGATGGTGCAGCCAGTTGGAAGAAGTTCCCAATAAATAATCCCTTTTACTCCCCGCCAAACGCTCACTATAATGTTCTTTGGGTGAAGATCATTTTTGGGCGTTGGTAAACCTGTTTGTCCAGCTCCCAGCCACTATAGCTTGCCCGTGTGGTTAACATACAACACCCACTTTTCATCGCCGATAATAAGATTGTGGAGCCATTGATAGTTGCAATGGGACGTCATTAATTCCATACAAGCGTCAACCCTGTGTTGGAGCTGATGCGGTAACAAATCATGTAGTATGCAAACTCCATATTTCCACGTTTTGCCTAATTTACCCAGATGTGTTTCCACTGTAGAATGAGAGTATCCAAGTCGCTCTGCTAAACATCGTATAGTCAATCGAGAATCTTCTTCGATAAGCTGCTTTAAGACATCCATATCCACCTGTAGTTGTCTTCTGGTATGAGGTAAATCGTCGAGTTCGAAGTTACCGTTCTTGAGCCGATTGAATCAATGTTGCGCTGTACGGATGGAGAGTGCATTCTTGCCCATCTTGCCGCATATGTTGCTTGTTGCTTCCATTGCTTTGCGACCCAATCAAAATTCATGAAGCAGAAGCACTCGAAGCTTTGTACGAGATATCTTCATTCCTAATTCGAGATCAACGTTCATATTCATAGTTTTGTTGTTGTTGTTCGAAAGATATTCGTACCTCCTTTATATATCCTTAGTATGGAAACTTCTAGGACTTTCGCAACTGTTCTAGGAAATTTAAAAAAAACGCAAAAATTTTCTTGCCAACCTAATATATGTAAATGCCCACGCAAAGTCTTTGTTGCCTAACTTCACGAAAGTGTGACCATCCACATTGCAAATTTTACAGTTCACGTACTTTACTCTGCTCTTTCTTTTGAACCTATTCTCAGCATGAAATTTAATGAGCCACGAGTCTCGTGGAGGCAAAAATTAGGACTTCCACAGAATATTCCGATAAATCGGGCCCGGTACTCGACCAATACCGATCGAAAGACAAATTGTCTCACCAAGATTCTTAGAAATTCGAATAAAGGACAAAATTTAGAATCGAAATGGGTTCATTGGACTATGCAAGTCAAGATCTTTGCAGAGCTGATAGGTCAAAAAACTAGATTTTCCAGGTAAAAGATGTGTGCATGCTACGACAGGTAAATACAGGATAACTTTCGTATTTTCTCATGATATCTAAACACAAATATGATATTAGTGATCAACGCGACAAGCTCTATCATCTTATACCTGAAAAGATAAAATTTGCGACAAAACATTTTTCGAGACCCCTTAAGAGTACCCTGGAGGTATTCCAGACCTAAAAAGATTGAGTAGCGTATTTCGAAGTTTTGATGCGGGAAACAGCATTAGTGACAAGCTCTGATTGCTATGCAAGTAGAAATTCTGGAAAACGTTGCGGGCCGACAAGTAGTCAAACTGCCACATCTCCTTTGAAAATTCCCAGACTTTCCAAGAACCTATCTTTAATCAGTCCGCCTTTCGCTGAGAAAACAAGAAAATGCAAACAGACCAAATGACAATTCCCTCATAATTCTAAAGTTTCCTTGATAAGACACACATACAACTGAGTGTACTTAGTTGTACCACTGCTGAAAAACTATCGATGTTCATGGAGCGGTTCCTGAGAAAATGATTGGACAAGTTCAGCTCTTTTTACTAATGTTTTATCGATTTTTCGTTGTTCATACATTAGTGAGTGCTGTAGCGTAATTTGTAGAGGCAACTTTAGATGCTGATACAAATATAACAAGCAAAAACACAATACAAATGGACCTCTTATGCGCAATGAGCGATGTGAGATGCCCCCATTGATAACCTAATGTGCTATCCGAAGCACGAAACATTGCAAAATTGACAAAACATTAGCAAAACAGTTGAACTTGTCAAATCATTTTCTCGAAAATCGCCCAATAAACGTCGGTAGTTTTTCAGCAGTGGCACAACTAAGCATAAACTTCAGTTTGAGACTAGGCCGGCCAAAATCGGAGCGATTATAGTCCAGTACTGAGTAACGCAAAAATCTGATTTTTGATGGAAAACACAATAGAGACTCGACGGTCAACGTGACAGTACACTAGGCATATCTCGGGTTCCGCATCAGCTAGAGAGGTGCGATCTTCGCCATTCATGTTGTTAGTTCAGTGTACATTGTTGCTATTCGACGCATTCAATCGTCTTGTTATCTACACTCTCAAAAAAAAACGTATCCTCGGAAACCTATAGAGGGTTTCATATAGGGACAAACCCGGAAACCCTCTATAGGTTTCCTGGAAATGGTTTCCGAGCTTTCGGAAACCCTAAAGTATCCATATAAAATTTGTGATGCAAAAACGTCGCTATTAAGTGCTTTCTATTCCATTATGTAGAGCAAAAAAAGTACTACTAAGTGATTCCATTAAAGTGACTATAAGTATATTTATAGGAAACAAGTATTTTTTATTAGTTATGTAGTCAATTACTTTTTGTTACTTACACTGCCATAGTACTTTTTAACACTTACTTTCCCATAGTAAGTTTTATTACTAAATTTTTTATATTACCTTTTATTACTTACGCTGCCACAGTGCTTTTTATCACTTACTTTCTCATATTACGTTTTATTACTTACACTGTCATATTATTTTTCAATTTGGAGCCTTTCTAATTTTTTGCCCAAGGGTGGATTCAAACCCTGACTTTTTTGCGCATCTTCGAATTCGGGCATACAAACCACTAGACCAAAGTTGTATGCAAACATGTATGTTTGAAACTCTCTTATAAATTGATCCAAATTGAGATTGCGCAATTACCGCTTAAAAGTACTTTTCCTGTGAAATGCTTAATAATTATTTTCTATTAGCAGGCATTTAAAGTAACTTTTTTTTGACAAGTCCTATAAATGGTTTGTCAAAATTTTGAGTATGAGTTTTTTCGTTAGAGAAAGCGTATTTTACGAAAAGAACGATTTTGTATAAAGTTTGATCAAAGGCTTTCAGGGTCGAGGAACTCGAATCTGTAATTGGTTTTCAAAAATTCTGTACTTCATATTTTCCTTAAAGAAGGTTTATTTTTCAAAAATAAATATTTTCTATCAAGTTTAATCAAAGGTTTTCAGGGTAGAGGAACTGGAACCTGTAATCAATTTTTCAAAATTTTGAGTGTGATGCTTTACGACATACTACTTACAGATTCGGATTCACGGATCTCGAAAATTTTTCATCCAATATTATTTTCCAACTTTTGTGGTAATTGTTTTGGGGTTTATTGAAACTCGGGATTTGTTCCCAGGATTAAAAACAGTTTGGAAACCGATTTAGGCTTCCCATTATACCTTTTTGAGATTCAGAAAGTTTAGAAACCGAAATAGTATTTTCGGATACCTCTTCGGGTACCAAATAAACTTTTTCGGCTATATGGGTTTCCTACGGGACAGATTTTTTTTCGAGTGTAATCACTCTCTCTTTCACGCTTTCGTATTTTCTCGTCATTCTGTTCACTGTTTTGGTCCGCTCACATAGCTGAATTGATTATATGTAATTCAAATATACAGTGACTCTCAATTCATGAGACAGATATAAAGAATTCAGAGTCCTGAAATAAACTGCTCGATTTCATTGGGAATTGTTCTCTAGAGTTCAGCTTAAAATAAGCTTTTCCAGCAGTTTTTTGATGAATCATCGATTTAAATCGATCTATTTTTCATCGATAAACCATTACCTACCGATTAATAAAAACCCATTTTTGCATTCATTCTAGTTAATGATTTTCTGAGGAAACATTGACAAAAAATTTTCAATTTTCATCGATATTTCATCATCTAAACATCAATGAAAAGTGATTATTGCAATACATCCATTTTAATCGATGATTTCTTGATTAAATATCGATAAAAATTGCTCAATTATAATCGATGTTTCATCGAAAAATAATTGATTTTTTTAATTACATTTCCGGACGGGTTACTGTTCTGAATTGTAACAGTTTTTGCTGATCGTTCCTTTTTGGAAAAGCGCTTCTACAAGGAACGGAGATAGTCCTCATTATAATACTGTTAATTACGCCTTAATTTTTAGAAGTTACGTAAATGATTCTTATATCATTCGAATCAGTAGATCATTCCACATTTTCTGACATACAAATATATATAATTCAACGAGAAAATCACTTCGAACAAAAAGAAAAATTTCGGAGCTTCGACAAGTCAGTTCTAATTAGGAATGTACGCTGTATTATATTCAGATGTTCACTTCTAGTATGGAGAACTACTGGCAGCATGACTATTGCACGACGCTCCCATACAGCATCCGTATTAACAACTGGACAAGTGTTAGTTAGTGGTGGATTTGCAATTGGTGTTTATCTGAGTAGTGCCGAGTTGTATGA